TTCACCGCAGGGCCGTGCTGGCGGCGCCGCGCGGCCCGGCCCCGCCCGCACGGCCCTGCGGTGAAACCTCCCGAAAACTTCCCTCCCCGGGAACGGGGCGATCCCCGGCACGCTCCCGGCAGGGCTGACGGGAGGTGCCAGGTGGAAATGGCTGAATAGTTGAGATTTGGTCAATGTAACCTCTGTCTGCTGTCTGAAACGGGCGGCATCCAGGAGATGGGCAGCAGCTGCTGTGTGCTGAGGAGGAGCAAATGGTGTCAAACAAGCTGGTTGTCTTCTTGAGAAGGCAGTCCCTGGCAGGGGTAAGCGGTTTCAGGAGCTACCTTGAATTCATGAAGATTTTTGATGCTCTGTCTCACCGTGGCCTGACAAACAAACCAAGCAGATACAGTCCAGAGAGGTCAGGGTATGCCAGGCTAGATGGTTAACCCTGGCTGGTTATCTAGCCAGCACCCACTCCCAGCACAGAAGACATCCCGAGCAGAGGGGCAGCTAGAGTCTGGTTCTGCTAAACACGGTCACATGCCAGTGCTCAAACTGACAACACATTCATTGAATTAGCAGATTATGTGAATCACAGCATAACCTGGGACAAGAGCATGGCCTGTAGCCATCATCACATGAACGAATCCTGCAGCTGTCCTGCGTTGGGTTTTGAGCACCTTACCTGAAGCAAGGTCAACAACATCCACCTGGAGAGCAGTGAGATCGGTGTAGAGGCTGATATCAGCAGTCTTTGGTGCAGATGCAAGACAGGGAGGAGTTGGAGCTGCTAATCTAAAGAAAAAGAGAAAATCCTGGGGTGAAGAATGAAATAAAGGAGGGAGGGAAACATGTTAATTTGTACGCGAATTAAAGATAAGGGCAAAAACCTGTTCTTTGTGGGAGGCTGAGAAGTGATGGATGTGAAATGCAGCAAGAGATTCTGCAAAGATACGGTGAAAAACTACAATAGCAAAGAGTAAAACACAGCTTGGGGAGTTTTTATTACTGGTCAAGTCGAAAGCCCTCCCAAAAACTCTTACCAGACATTACTCAGTCATTCCTTCAGAGGAGATGGTCTCCCCCATCTTTTGTAGAGCTAGTTTCCTCTATTTTCCATGGTGCCATGGTTTCCTTTGTGCTGGGAACCTGGCCTTTGTGACCTAGAAGAGGAGAAAGATCTCACTCAGACACCCAAATTTCCTCCCACTGACAAAACCAGGTACCATCTGACAGCATAGTGCATTTATCAGAAGGTCCATCTCTATGGTCACAGGGTATTTCCTTGTCTGATATTCTGCCTTGAACTACACCCCAATTCCCTGGGTTTTTTTCCTCTCTCCTATTGTCTTTTTGCTTGGATTTGGTCATCCTTTGAGGAGCTCTGTTCAGCTTGGTTTTTTCTCACCTGGATAATAGTTTGCATCTTCCATCCTGTTTGGACTGTCTCTGTGCACTGCTTTAGCCAGGCTGAACTGAGCAGGACTGGTGGAGCCAAAGCCCTTCTCTTTCCTTTTGTGGGTGTCTCCAGGCTGGTTTTGCATCTCTCTGGCTCTCACTGAGACAGGCAGGAGCTCAGCTGACCAGGCATTTCCCAGCAGCCCAGCCATCACTGGGCTGTAGATGCCGAGCTCAGGACCAGGGGAGCTCTTGGCTTTGATCGTCAGGGCTGTTCCAGCTCCTTGCTCTTCATCCTGGTGTGGTCAGACTTACTACCAAACAAAACACTCTGAGCTTTGGTTAGCCAGTGTTTGAGAGGTTTGTCTGGAGAGCAAACATACACATTAGTGGGTTTGTGTTCTTGTCCGTAAAGCAAACAACAGAACCTGGTGTCCCACTTCCTCCTGTGTACAACCCTGGGCTTGGACCAAACCTTCCTCCTGTCATGACTGGTATTTCTCTCCAGTAAAGCATTTTAAACTTGTTGAACCACAGTAATAACTGGGTGTTCTGAACGGTGACTCCGTTCCCTCCCTGTTGGACCAGGGCTTTACAGCTCCTACTGCATACAGTCTTGAGAGCTGGTAGTGGCTTCTGCATCCAAAGATTAAAAATATTTTATTTTTTTTGAGCAATAAGGAATACAATGCTTTTTTTTTTTTGATTTGGAGAGTAATTTAGAGTGAAGGAAAGATGATGCCTGGTGGAAATGAGAAATATGTGTTCCATACATAATATATGCCCCAAATGTCCTATTACAAATACAAGAAGATTTCCTGAACTGGAGAAGTTGTTACACATTACAGTGTGCTAATGCTCCCCCATGGAGGTGCTGATACTGAGAGAGTCTTTAGTGTAATAATATTAAAAATCTAAGAGTTTCAATAAGATCCTCCATGCTACCACAGCTATAGGAAATGAATTGATTCCAAAGGAAGAGTCTAACTGCTGCTTAGCATCCACAAAATATTCCAAGATTCACTGCAAACATATATCCCAATGTGTCTGTGGTGTGATCTGCAATAACATGTTTTCCAAAGAGACAGTCCCTTCCCAGCTGCTGCCCTCGGAGTGACC